GCTGCAGTGCCACTACTGTCCACTTTCAAGTGGTGCCTGTATATCGCATGGAACCATCTGTAAACCAGGCACAAGTTTTCTCTTCCTCATCCAACTGATCATAAGGAATTCCCCATGAAGCCATAGGTGCAGACTGGGAGAGGGAAGGTAATATGACTAGAGTGGAGACCACAGGTATTTGGGACACTTCCTCATGCAACTTACTTGTGCCTTCAGGTCCTGCTCAAGCCCGATCTCGGATATACCACTTCCATTTAATGACAGAGTGCTGCTGTGCACATCCAACTTTATGACTCTGTGGGTCAGAAAACACCAAGTTCATGATGGGCATCTCAGGCCTCATGGGGACTTGGTGGCCCATAATTAGGCGTCCAGTCTCTACTTAAGCCCAATAACAAGCTAAAAGCTGTTTCTCAAAAGGAGAGTATTTATCTGCAGAGGATGGCAGGGTTTTGCTCCAAAATCCCAAGGGTCTGCATTGCAATTCACCAATAGGGACCTGCCAAGGACTCCAAACAGCATCTCTATCTACAAAGACACTTCAAGCACCATTGGATCAGCTGGATTATATGGCCCACGTGGCACAGCAGCCTGCACTGCAGCATGAACCTGTTGCAGAGCCTTCTGTTGTTCTGGGCTCCACTCAAAACTAGCAGCTTTCTGAGTCACTTGATAAATAGGCTGCAGGAACGCACACAAATGAGGGATATGTTGCCTCCAAAATCCAAAGAGGCTCACTAGACGTTGTGCCTCCTTTATAGATATGGGGGAAGCCAGATATAATTACTTATCCTTCACTTTAGTAGGACTATCTTGGCCCAACACCACTGAGGTTGAAGGTGCCTGAATTTTTGGGGGGTTAATTTCTCAACCTCTAGCATGCGTATGTCTCACCAATAAGTCTAGAGTCATTGATAATTCTTCCTTACTAGGTCCCATCAGCATAACGGCATCAATATAATGGACCAGTGTAATGTCTTGTGGAAAGGAAAAGTGATTAAGATCCCTACAGACTAAATTACAACATAGTGCTGGGGAGATGATGTACCCCTGAGGAAGCACTGTGAAAGTATATTGTTGGCCTTCCCAGCTGAAGGCCAACTGCTTCTGATGGTCCTTTGAAATTGGTTTGGAGAAAAAGGCACTGGCCAGATCATTAGCTGCATACCAAGTACCAGGAGATGTACTAATTTGCTCAAGCAATGAAACCACATCAGGAACAGCAGCTGCAATTGGAGTCACCACCTGATTACGATAATCTACTGTCATTCTCCAAGATCCATCTGTTTTTTGCACAGCCCCAATGGGTGAATTAAATGGGGATGTGGTGGGAATCACTAGCCCTGCATCCTTCAAGTCCTTGATGGTGGCAGTAATCTCTGCAACCCCTCCAGGGATGCAGTATTGCTTTGGTTTACTATTTTTGTATGTAGAGCTAGTTCTAATGGCTTCCATTTGGCTTTTCCTATCATAATAGCCCTTACTTGACATTTCAGGGACCCAATGTGGGAATTCTGCCAATTGCTCAGGATATCTATTCCAAATATGCATTCTGGAACTCAGGAAGTCACTACAGGATGGGTTCGGGAACCCATTGGACCCGTTGTGAGATGCATCTTAGCTAAGACTCCATCAATATCTTGACCTCCATATGCCCCCACTCTGACTAGTAGGCCACAATGATGCTCTGGGTCTCCTGGAATTAGTGTCAGTTAAGAGCCAGTGTCCAGTAATCCCCGAAAAGTCTGATCATTTCCTTTTTCCCCAATGAACAGTCACTCTTGTAAAAGGCCTCAGATTCCTTTGGGGAAGGCTGGGAGAAAGA